CAGCAGCACTATTTACAATAACCAAGACATGGAAGCAACCTAAATGTCCACTGACAGATGAATGGATAAAGATGATGTTGTTCATATATACAATGGAATATTACTCAGCCACAAAAAAGAATGAAATAATGCCATATGCAGCAACATGGATAGAACTAGAGGTTATCATACTAAGTGAAGTAAGACAAATACCATATTATATCACTTATATGTGGAATCTAAAATATGACACAAATGAACTTATTTACGAAACAGAAACAGACTCAAAGACATAGAAAACAAACTTACGGTTACCAAAGGGGAAAGGGGGTGGGGGAGGGATAAAGTAGGAGTTTGGGATTAGCAGATAGAAACTACTATATGTAAAATGGATAAATAACAAGGTCCTACCATATAGCACAGGGAACTATATCCAATATCCTATGATAAAACATGAGAGAAACAGACTAGAAAAGTTAAGCACACAATGAGAAAGAAAACTGGAAAAGGCAAAAGAATGAACATTTTAATGAAATTGTTTTATAAGGAATTAAGAAGGGAGTTGACTATTGATGAAAGTTATTTTCACTTTGGCAAAATGAAAATAATTATTAATATGTATACTTTAAAAAATAATGGAAAAGGATATATATATATGTATATGTATGTATAACTGAATCACTTTGCTGTATACTAGAAACTAACACATTCTAACATTGTAAATCAACTACACTTCAATTTAAAAAAAGATTCAGATTCTTTAATAGTTATAGGATGATTTAGGCCTTCTATTGTTTTGTCGGTTTTGGTCATTTTTGTTTTTCTAGGACTTTGTCCATTTTACCTAAATTTTCAAACATATTTTCAAACAAAATTTGTTCAACTGTCCATTGAATCTATCACTAAGTCCTCCCTTCTATCAAACCCTCAGAATCGCGCTGTGCGGTCACTGCATATACTCTTTTTAAATTTTTTTTAATTTTTTTAATTTACTTATTTTGGGCTGCGTTGGGTCTCTGTTGCTGCGCGCGGGCTTTCTATAGTTGCGGCGAGCGGGCTTCTCATCGCGGTGGCTTCTCTTGTTGCGGAGCACGGCTCTAAGCGTGCGGGCTTCAGTAGTTGTGGCTCGTGGCCGCTAGAGCACAGGCTCAGTAGTTGTGGCGCACGGGCTTAGCTGCTCCGCGGCATGTGGGATCTTCCCGGACCAGGGCACGAACCCGTGTCCCCTGCGTTGGCAGGTGGATTCTTAACCACTGCGCCACCAGGGAAGTCCCCACCGCGTGTACTCTTGTCCAGGGGTCACAGAGGTAGCGTTTTTGCCTCCACTGCAATAACCTGTGAGTAAACCTGAGCCACACTTTCCTAGACCGCCCCCCCACACCTCCCCACCTCCCCCCACCCCACCCCCTGCCACCAGAGCCGTGAAGGCACTCTGAGCATTAGCAAGTTACAACTACTGCCTGTAACTCACCCAGAAAGTTCAAGGGAAAGCCACATTCCCTCCCAGCCTTGGCTCCAGAAGACAGCTCCAGTGTGCCCCTGATGGTAAGAGTTTGGGGTCGACCTAGCCGTCTCCCCTCCCACCTTCCAGTAACTGCTTCAGCTTCCTCTGTCCTCACTGACTTCCCCAGCTGAGCAGGGGATATCAGTGACCTCACTCTGGCAACAGTCATTCATGTCCCACTCCCATCTCTGTGGCTTGTTCATTTCCCCACTGAGGACAAGCAGCATCTAGCAGGTTGGGGTAAAGGGCTGGGACCTGGGGATAAAAGAGGAGCTTGCGGGGCAGTGAGGGTTATCTGTTTATCCTACAGTGACCTCATGTGTGCTTATGCTAACGTGAGAAACACACGGGTGTAACCTCAGCAATGGCTTCAGGGAGGTGCCCGTTTGGGATGCACCTTGCCATTCACCTTTCCCAAGTGGAGCCCCCTTCCTTCCTGACACTTTCTGGACCGTCCCCCCCCCCACCTCCCCACTTCAGAGAAACCATAAAGGGTGGGATTGCTGGGTGATGCTCCCGAACCCTTCCCTCCTGGGGGGTCCCTGGCTTGCAGCCCTCACCCTCCATCTGTCACCTCAGTTGGGTCCTTCCTGCTACCCCGCAACCCCCTGCCCCAGAAAAGCAGCCATTCCTGAGCTCTGCCTCTCTCCAAGGGTGGCTGCCCTGAGGGCCCTGGCAGCATTGTCCTCCATCTGGCCAACCAGCTGAGGAGAGCAGAGGACACGAGCAGCTGCCGGGAGTCTTGGGGTCAAAGGTCCTACAGACTCACTCAGGAACTGGCTGCTCAGGCAGCACAGGAAACTGATGTTTTGAGGGATGAGTCAGTGCCCACCTGGGCACTGAAGGGGTTAAAGGAACGTGGTGGAAGATTGCAGAATGGAGGCACACGGTGCTGCTGGAAAAAAGCTAGCCTTGTGCGTGGATAATTAGAACTGCACATCAGTAAACAATGCCTTTTCCCCTCATTAAGGACAAATCTGTGTGTATAATGTGCCTATTTTCTCTTTCATTAACTTATAAATGGCCACTACTTTAAAGCCACTTAACCAGCAGTTTTGACTTGCCCATCAGCCCGGGGATCTGATGTGTCTCGTCTCCTACACAGACAGAGGCGCCCACTTCAGCACCCAGCTCCCATGGGGGGAGAGGCTGTGGGAGCGCTCCTGTGAGATGCCACAGGCAGAGTTGCAGCAGCTTCCAGAAGGGAGTGGAGAGAGGGTGTGAGGGCAGACCCCAGGCCCAGGCCACCGCCCACCCATCCCCTCCCCCACCATGCCCCTCTGATGACTCACTCTCATTCTCTAAATTGCTTTGTCTGACCTTGGGTAGCTTGAGAACCCTGACTCTTGGGAGCCCCTGAGAATGTGGCCAATCTTCAAGCGTTCCTTAGGACGCCCAGCAACAAGCTGGGACCAGAAATCCCAGTGATGAGATATCAGTTCTGCCCTCATGAAACTCACAGTCCTGTAGAGAGAGCAAGCAGCATGTACATGTTAAGGAAGGGACGCTGTAAGAAAGGTTCACACAAAATGGAAATCTTCAATGAAAGTCAGGAAGGCGCCCCAGATGTATGTCTCCTCCATCAATCTGGAAACTTCCCTGGGAACTGATAACATCTCTCCCTCATCAGACAAGGAGCTTCAGGGGATACTGACCATGTCCTTCCCATCACACTAGGAGATCCCCTGGAGGCAGAGACGCTCTCTCCCATCAGACAGGAGATTCTACAATTAGGAACTATTGCCTCATTAGATTAAAAAATCCCACGAGTGAGGGATCAGTCCAAGGGTAGGGCGCTGTCTCCCCATCTTTCTCTGGGTAGCCTCCCAGGACCCTGAATAAAGACAGCCTCTTTACATCACTCCCTCTCTCCTGGGGCCCCAAAGTGTGCCCCAAACCTACGCCAGGACTTGAGAGGGGCAGGGACAATGCCAAAGTGGGAGATGATACAATCTTTGTCCTCAGGAGCATCGACTAGCTTTTCAGTTTTGCGGTGACACTAGTCCACACAAAGTGACAGTGAGACAAGGGAAAGGGGACTGAAGTGACCACTCATGGAGCACCCTCGTGGAGGGGACGGGGGCATGTACGTGACCCGTTCTGTGATCCCACAGAAGAGCTCACAAGCCCAGGACGTGAATACTATTTTCCCCATCCCACAGATGAAGCACTGGAGACCCAGAGAGGGAAAGAGATTCACTCAAGGTCACACGGTCCGTCAGTGGCAGAACTGGGAATCGAACAGTCTCTGGCTCTTTCCACCATAGCCAAGCGTCACTCCATGTGAGTGCAAGAGCCTTATGAGCAGTAGAGGCAAGAGGAGAAGGGGAAGAGCAGTGAGACTGGAGGCACCAGGCCTGGGGACAGGAGCTTCTGCTGGACCTCAACTGCGGGAACAGCTTGGAGAGGCCAAGGGCATTCTGAGAGCCTTTGATGGTGAAGCTGGGTACAGCCCCATCTCTGAAGCCCTGTACCATCCCTGAACAGGGCAAATGCAGGAGCCTCAGTCCTGGTGAGGGACCTTACTCATAAATCCAGTCATTCCTCAAAAATGCCATCTCCTGAGAATATTTTTAGACTGACTTCTGTTGGACACTGGGTGGTTCTGCTGTTGGGACAGTATCACCGTCGCCATCATCATCAGCATGGTTAGTCATCCTAAAGAATTGGAAACAACCCAAATATCCATCCACAACAGAGTGGAAAAATTCACATGTGGAATGCTTGACAGCAGCTAAAAGGAATGAAGCAGACCCACATGGGCTTGACATGGCCAGATGTCCAAGACATATATTGTTGAATGAGAAAAAACAACTTTCATGTTGATATATTTAGTGTGATACCACTTATGTAAAAAGAGAAGTCTCAAAACAAGGTGCTTTCAGTGGCTACATATTATACTAAAAGGGTCTGTAAAATACATCAAACTGGTAACAGTGGTTACCCCTGACTAGGGGTGGCTGTAACCAGGATGGGAGGTGATCAAAGGGGACTTTGGTCACCCTATGCAGGGTGACCGCTTGCCCAGGTTTGCCCAGAACGGCCTCTGTTTTCTCTGTTGCTGCTGTAACTAATAACAGCACTGCCTTTCACTCTCAAAAGTGTTCAGACTGGGTGATAAGTTACTTAATTACCATACTTATCTGTAGGGTTTAATTTTTTACAAAAAGAATATATTAAGTGATCACTTGTGTCATTTCTAGCAGTGTATTGAGAGAAGGTAAAGTCTTCCTCTCCTTCTCCAGGGCCCCAGTCCCACTCCTCAGAGGTAACCCACTGTTAACAGTTCTAATATCCTTCTCGAAACTGTAACTCTAGGGACTTCCCTGGTGGCGCAGTGGTTAAGAATCTGCCTGCCAACTCAGGGGACACGGGTTCGATCCCTAGTCCGGGAAGATCCCACATGCCGCGGAGCAACTAAGCCCGTGTGCCACAACTACCGAGCCTGCACTCCAGAGACTGCGAGCCACAACTACTGAAGCAAGCCACCACAATGAGAAGCCCGCACACTGCAATGAAGAGTAGCTCCCACTTGCCACAACTAGAGAAAGCCCACGCGCAGCAACAAAGACCCAATGCAGCCAAAAAACAAACAAACAAAAAGAAACGGTAACTCTGTATGTAACCATGTAACCTTAAAACACAGAGAAAAAGACATGGAATTATGCAGCACACCCTGTTTTGAAACTTGCTTTTTTCACTTAATTTTGTCTATATCTGGGTATCAGGAAAACCTAACATAGATCCTTGGGTCCTATCAACAGAGATTCAGTTTCTGTGGGTTGGCAGTGGGGCCCACAGATGTGTATTTCTGATGAGTTTTCTGGGTGATTTTGATGCCAGTGGTCCATGGACTCCATGCTAACCTTTGTCCATAAAACAATCATTCATCCATTTATTTAATAAACAATCATGGACCCTTGCTCTGGGTTTGGCCCTGGCTAAGCCTGGAATTCAGCAGAGAACATAACGCAGTCCCTGTCCTCCAGGGCACAGCCTCAGGTCTACTTCCAGCGGGACCAGTCATCTCTGACAGTGGGTTGAACGGGCTATGAGCATGGGCACTGGGGTCAGACAAGCCTAATCCTGGCACTTCCTCTTTCTGACCATCTGACCTTGGGAAAAGTACTTAGCCACTCTCTGCCTCAGTTACCTGGTTTGTGAAGTGGACATCAAAATCCCCACGTCACATCATGGGCACTCAATAAGTTGCAGCTACTCTCATTAATAATTAATTATAAAGAACATATACATAATAATAAAACTCCTATAGCATTCTTGCCAAGAATGTTTAAACTAAATTCAATCATGGGGAAATAATCTGACAATCCGAACTCAGAGATATTCTAGAAAACTTGACTATATGCTCCAAAAATGTGTCATGAAAGACCAAAAAAAAAAAAGCGAGAGAGAGAGAGAGAGAGAACCTATTCTAGATTAGAGAAGACGAAAGAGACATACAACTAAATGCAAAGTGTGTTCCAGGCTTTCATATATATATACACACACACACACACACACATATATATATGTATACATAATATCATTGGGATATATATATTATATTTATTTATATATTTATGATTGGGATAAGTGGGAGATATGAATATCAACTGTATATTATATAATGATATTGTAGCAATGTTAAATTTCTTTATTGTAATAACTGCAGTATGTAAATGTTCTCCTTCTTAGGATGTGTGCTGAAATATTTAGGGATAAAGTGTCATGATGTCTGCCAATAACTCTCAAATGGTTCAGAAAATTGTGTGTGTAGGGATGGGGGGAGAAAAAAGAGAGACAGAAAGGGAGACAGAAAGACAGAGAGAGAATATGTTGCAAAATGTTAACAATTGGTATATCTAGGTGAGTATATGGGTGCTCCTATTCTATTATTTCCATTTACTTTGTAGATTTAAATTTTTCCAAAATAAAAAATTTGGGAAAATGAAATCTAATGGTTTTAGAAAATAATATTCAGGATAGTGGCTGACTGGGGAAGGAGGGAGTGACGGGGAGGGGAGTGTGGCTGGCAGCTTCCTGACTTTGGTGGATGTCCTATATCTTGAACTGAGTGTGTTCATTTTTGGAGGATTCATTGAGCTGAGCACCTATGATTTCTCCTCTTTTTGTGTGTAGGCTACATACCAAGAAATAATTTTATTTAGAATCATCATCATAATAAAGCATCCTTCCCAGCATCCTATCCTCTGATCTGGTTCTGTAAATGCAAGATGGGGCCAGGCGGGAGGGAAGCCTGGGGCGGGGCCATCCTTCCCTGACAGTGTGTCTCATCCGAGAGGAGGGACAGCAGGGCCTGAGTCTGACGACAGCCTGCCTCTCAGTCTGACCCCATGGGGAGGAGGCCGGCTGCTTTCGGAGGTGCCCCAGACTGCGCCTCTGAGCCGTGCCCACTCCTGCTGCCAGCCCCTGCAGCGGGAGGTTGGCCTTGACTCCACACTTCCCAGGCCCCAGCGTTCTCCTCTCTTGTCAGCCTTGTGGGCCCAGATGGATGTAGGTTCAATGAAGCATCTCATCTTGTGTGAGAAGGAAGTCCAGGGGTCACATTTTCCTCTCCTTGCATTGTTTCCCCATGTACTGGATCTCATCTGCTTCACTAGCTGGAGACAGAAATGTAGTCATGTCTCTGTGTTTTACAGATTAATCGCTGGAGTCCTCATCAGCCTAAATTAACAGGAACAGTAACAATGGCTAACACTTACACAGTGCTTACTACATGCCAGATCCTGTTCTGAGTACTTTATGTATATAACTCATTTAATCTTACAACAGCTCTCTGAGGCAGGGTTGTTTTAAATCCATTTTACAGATGGGGAAATTGTGGCATAGAGAAGTAATTTGCCCAAGCAGGACTGACTGCATAATTGGCAGGGCCAAGTGAAAAATGAAAATAGAGGAGTGGAAGGGGGTCCTTCTTCAAAAATAACTTATTATGAAAAAAGAATGAAATAATGCCATTTGCAGCAACATGGATGGACCTAGAGATTGTCACACTAAGTGAAGTATGCCAAAGACAAATATATGATATCGCTTATACATGGAATCTAAAAAAACAATGATACATATGAACTTAGTTACAAAACAGAAATAGACCCACAGATGTAGAAAACAAACTTATGGTTACCAAAAGGGAGGGGGGAGAGATAAATTAGGAGTCTGGGATTAACATATACACACTACTATATATAAAATAGATAACCAACATGGACCTACTGTCAAGCACAGGGAACTCTACTCAATATTTTGTAATAACCTATATGGGAAAAGAATCTGAAAAAGAATAGATAGATATGTATGTATAACTGAATCACTGTGCCATACACCTGAAACTAACACAACATTGTATTATAAATGAACTATACCTCAGTTAAAAAAATAAAATAAAATATGGCTGACAGATTTTTAAAAATTATTAAGACTTTCAAGACAGCAAGCATTAAGCCCAGCATGGTGCCTGTTTAATTAAGGCAGGCTCCAGTGAGGCTGTACAGGTCTGCAGCCCATGAGGTCAGGCCAGGGAAGTAGCAGAGCAGAAACTGGAACCCGAGCAGTCTGACGCCAGAGTCCATCCTCCTATCCACGGTGCTGTACAACCCTCTACCCTCAGGCTCTTCCTCCGCTCACCTTCCCCAAGGTGTCCAAGAACTGGAACCACGACTCAGTGCATCGGGATCTGTCCTGGCTCTAAAAGCCAGGTGGAGACAGAATTGAATAGTCTAAACAGCCCGGTGCCACAAGGGGTCGCTGTTGAAAACTGGTCCTGCGCAGTTTGCTGCCTCCACGTCCAGAGCTCAGGGCTGCCCTTGCTGAGCCAACCCTGGAGGTGCACAGCAGCGCCCCACACTTGGGCTCCAGGCTTCAACTCTTTTATTTCACACACTTACGTGCAGCCACTGCTCACAGCACAACCTCTACCAGAGTGCTTGGAGGTCTCTGCCACGTCAGCTGCTGGCTGGGCACCAGCCTCACTAACAAGTATCTAGGCCTGATATTAGCTTGGTTCACCTATTCAGCGTCCCTGTTTCCTGATGATGAGGTTCCCCTGTGGCATTTCTTCTACCCTTTCTTGCCAAAGGATCTCAGAGAGGCCCAACTCGGTATATCAGAAAGGCTCTAGTAGTCTTAAACCCCAAAAGGGAAGGGTCAGTCAGGGTCTTGACCTCAGTCCTCCCATATGCAAATATCCTGCCTCTATGATCAGTCCTGCAAAACCTTCTCAGAATCACATAATTCCTTTTTTGCACCCTCTTCCCAGAGCAATGTATTTGCCTACTTAACATAAGCACTGCATAACTAAGAGAAGTGGGATTATTCTTTTGCCAGAAAATCTAGTTTTGCCTTCCTAGGCACACCATTACACAGGATTTAACATGTCTGGCACATCAATGTCACACCCAGATACCTTCTTAATAACGTAAGTGTCTAAAAAGGGTTGATGAATGAGACTTTAAAAGATGAAGGATCGGAGGAGTGGGTATTTTAACCTCACTGGCTGATGAGGCCAGCGATGTCTGGATTACTCTGGTACCATGGGCATCTGTGCAGTCAAGCTGGCACCATCTAGAGTTCCCCTCTGTATCAGTTAGAAGTGTATTCAGTTGCAGCTAACAGAATACCAACCAACAGTGGACTAGACAAATGGAGATTTATTATTTTCACTTGACAGAAATCTGGAGGTAGGCAAGTTACTGGCATTGGTTGGTCAGCTCATGGCTGGTGTCATTACAATTCTCTTGGTCTTTCCCTCATAGAAGCTGATGGCTGCTGCAGCTCCAGCCTTCAAGTCTGCATTCAAGGCAAAAAGAAGAAAGGGCAAGAAGGGCCAGCACCAGCAGCATCCAACGCCCTTTATCAAGAAAGGAAAAGCCTTCCTAAGAGCCCCCAGCAGGTTTCAGCTTATGCCCCATTGGTCTGAACTGTGTCCCATGCCTCTCCTGGCTGCAAGTGAGTTTGGGAAAGTGAGCCTTTACGTTACATCAAAGAGGATGATGCCACATCCTTCCCCCTACAGTCACCCTAGGTGGCACAGGACCCCAGGGCCCCTTCCCAACAACCTCAGATTCTTTCCAGAGGAGCTCCTGCATCCTGTGGCCCTCATAATGCCCCAGGCAAGAAGGGCTCACCCAATGAGCCAGGATTCCCCTGAGCAGGAGGCCGGCTGACTTCAGCCTTTTCCTTGGTTAGTCATGGTGCTCTGCCAGCTGGGGGAGGCGACTAATTAGCTGTAGACTGATTAAGGACAAGGCAGGCAAAGCCCCAGACGTGATAAACATGAACTTTCCATCTTCCCCCTCCTGGCCGTTGCTGCCACCCACCACCAACAGCGGAAGGCAGGCCCGCGGCACCCCTCATGGTGCACCTGGCTGGGAGGCCAGCAGACGTCGTCCAGGCCACCATTCACACTGCCCGGCGCCAACCAGGGCATCATGGCAGGGACGGGCACAATGGGTTTTCCTTCAGGGCTTCTCCTCTCCTCCAGACTCTCCCAACCTTCTTGCTCTCGACCAGGTATGGTACCAGGCCCGGATTTCTTAACCAGCCTCTGCCCTAAAGAATCTACAGCTGAGGGCTGTAGAAATGCAGAAAGGGGTGAGTTCAGTATGACCTGGAGTTGCTGGCCAGGGCTCCATGGCGGTGCTTTGGGTGGGTTTTCTGAGTAGAGCGGTGGTCCTGGAGAAAGGGGAGGACTCATGCACAGGAGTGGAGGCAAAATGAGCAGAACATGCTCCTGGGGCAGTGAGGAATCTGGAGACAGGCCTGGAGAGGGGCAAAGCCAGGGGCAGGATGGAGATGAGGACGAAGAGGAAGCAAGAGTTTAGATCTGAAGCCCAGCTGCTTCCAGCCTCAGCTCCTCCACAATAGGTGGCCTTCACATGCATGAGACCCCATGGGGGGTTCAGGGGGATCTCCACCCCCAGCTCCAACTGTGACACCTGGCCTGTATCTGTCACTCTAGAAAGCACCTGCCAGGTGCAGGCAACCTTCATGCCACCAGGGCCTGGCCAAGCCACAGTGGAAAAGCTCTCTAACACATGAATCTTATACCAGATAAGGCTGTGATAAGGACAAAGGATACATTTCACCAACAGATAAGAAGAGAGATTTCAGTGAATGTGATTTCTCAAGTCGCCTCTGTTTTTCCATGAGGAGACCCCCTCAGGACGTGGCCAAGGTAAATGCTTATCTTAGGAGGCTTGGAAGCACCCCACCCCCAGTCCACTCTGCCTGGCCCACTCTTACCCATCCCTTGGGTCTCAGCTCATGTCATTTCTTTGAGGGAGCTTCCCTGACCTGTCCTAGGTCACATTCTATGTATTTCCCTTCATCAATTGTAATACAGCTTATATTAATGCATTTAGGTGACTGTCTTTATTACTATAGATTCAATCAGCAAATATTAATTGAGCCACAAACTGTGCTAAGTTCTGGGGATACCATGAGACACAGACCTACCCGCATGGAGCTTACAGCCTAGGCATAAGTCCCAGCTTGTACCTAAGTGGGGATCCACCCTAACTGCAGAAGTAAGACCCCTCCCAGTCCCAGTAAAACAATGGGACAACTCATGCCCATTCAACTCATGGCCTCAGGCCACCCCCAGAAGGACCTTCCTGTGTGGTTGCTCAGGTTGTCCATGACACAAGGGGACTGTAGTGGATGCTGCCCATATTTCTCCTTCAGAGCCAAAGCACTCGTTCCTCTAGCTGCTGGGAGTGTTGCCTGTCAATGGCTGGCAACCAAGTCCCCCTCCAGGACCTGTCCTCAGCCAAAGAGAGGCACATCAGTCCCAGAGTGATGTCTGCTCGTTTGAAATAACAAAGGCCTGCCCCCTTCCTTGCCTCAATCCAGGAGCTTCCCATGCGGTTGTGGTCCAACTTTTCCCTCTACCCCATCCTACTTCCCTCACTCCCTCACTCAGGGGCTATTCCTGAGAACACTCCTCAGTGAGACGCCTGCACGCAAATCTCGAGTCTCAGAGTCTGTTCCCTGGGGAACCTGAGAAAGAAACACGTTGGGGCAAAAATCCACCCTCACATGTGACAACATCTGTCCGGAGGGAAGGACTCCTTTTTTCTCATCGGCACGAAGATGCTCTTTTATGACTTAGCAGCAACCTGGCCCAGCCTGAGAGCTGAACAAGGAGCGCAACCCAGTGCTGGAAGGCCTTGGAACAGACATGAGGAGGGAATCGGGCCTTGCAGCCAAGTGATTTAGGAGACTCCAGAGGAGAGTATATCTGTGGTAAGAAGCCCACCAGCTCCTGGAGGCTGATTCCAGCTGATTAAGAGGCACCCAGGGCTAGTATTTCTGCAAGACAGCTGGGAAACAAGCTGAGGGAAACTGTTAATCCGGGATTTCCAACAATGTGGAAGGTGTCAGCCCAGCCCTAAACATCCTAACTCAGGCCCAGTGTGTGGGAACTCGCCCAGGTGGGCGCAGGAGGAAGGCGGGAGAAGCAGGAAGAAATTAGACTTTGCACAAACTTTGTAATTGAAATCATTAATAGCAGTGAAACAAGCTGTTCATCCTACATGTAATTTGTAGTAATGTTTGGTTACTGAGATTAATTTCTAGTAATGAAATACTAATTAAACCATTTATTGAGCAATGTATTTGCTTGGTGGTGTTTTATGGGTGTTCGCTTATAAATATTTTAATTACTTTTGCTAAGTAATTAGCATTTACTAAATAATTTCCAAACTATTTATTAATTTCCAGCAATTCTCAGCCAACCAACAAGTTATTGTTTTACTTTATATCAGTAATTAAAGCCTGGGTTTTTTTTTTTTTTTTTTTAGACTTTGAGTGAAGAGAAAGAGTAATAAAGACAGTCTATTCTATCACAGGAGGTTGGGTATATTAAAGCAAAAAAAAAGGGACATAAAAACGACTCATAACCCAACATTACTCAAACACTGTTAATAAGATAAAGATATCTTTACAGACTTTCCTTATGGGCACATGTACTGTGTTTTTCAAAACTGAGATCATACCAACTACATGATTTCTGGCCAGCAAACTTTGCCAATTTTTGTATCATACTTTCTATTCTATTAAAATGCTAAACCACTCTAGAGATGTAAAGTCTCTTTAACAGTTAAAGAGACTTTCTGAAAGTAATATTTACTTTTTCTACCTCTATGCACCTACTATATGTCAGACACCATGCAAAGTAATTCACACATTATTGGTAGTAATAAACTACTCTGGCAGTAGTCTGTGTAAAACAGGGCTACCCACATGATACAGGCTTAGCATGAAGTCATTCATCTTCAATAAAATGGTCTGGGAGGAAAAAAAAAATTACCAAAATAAATGAAATAGGGTCACAGTGAATGTAGTTCTGGGACCTGCTTTTCTTGCTTAAAATATAATAAACAGCTTTCCATTTCAATAACTATGGAGGAGTAGCAGTGTCCTTTTTACTAGCTGCATAGCATTCTATATTCCCAGTCATTATTTAATGCCTAATTGCTGGACATTTTGGTTGTTTTTAGTGAACAAGCTTATAATGAATGTCTATATACATAGATCATTGTGCACTTGTCACCTACTTCCTTAGAACATATTCCTAGAAGTGGAATTGCTGGGTCAAAGCGCAGGAACATTTTTAAGACTTTGGATTCATGCTGCTCACATGCTTTAAGAAAAATTGAACGAATTTATTCTCCCATCACTAGAGGTGAGAGACCTGTTTCCCTGCACTATATACAATTATTATTATTTTAAATCTCATGTCACTTGCTCTTGCTCCCTGTCTAAAGCAGGGGCAGCCCAGGAAAGCATCCTGAATCACAGAACTTCACAACCCACCACCCCATTGGCTCAGGAGAAACACAGTTGGTTGGCTCATGAAGACCTACATGCTATGTCTTCACAGCTTACGTAGCACCAAAATGTTTAAAATTATTCCCTACCACACTATTCCCCTCTCCCCCAGCCTCCTCCTTTCCAGCCAGGACACCGCTTCTCTGAAGGCATCAGCAGAGGTGGCACAAAGCGTTTGGCTCCCTGCTGGCAGATGCCTGCCCCATGTGGTGTCAGAACAGGCACCTGTCTAGGCCTTCTCCCTTTATATCTTGACAAAATATCGTCCCACCAGCATGTCACAGTGCCTAAAAATTCTACCATCAGTGGCGTACACTAAGGAGTTTTGTAAACATTCAGAGGTTAGCCTAGGTGACATTTTATGATCTGATAAGTTTTCCAGAGGCTCTCCCATCTCCTTTCCAATGCTCCTTTCTCACCTCCTGTCAAGTCACCTGGTGCCTCTGGCCGTCCCAAGTGCCCATCCTTAGCCCCCATACCCCTCCTTGGACAGGACCACCTTGAATAATGTTTTAGTACCTGTGAGAAGGTACCTTCTCCAAACAAACCAAAAAACCTTCTTAGAGGGAGGAGATATTTCAACAACTCTTTGAATAAAGAGAGGGAGGTAAATTCGGGACGGAAAGGTGAGAGTGAATTGAGAGATGGCTTGATATGGAGATAGAAGGGGGGGTCATTGACGTTGCCCCCTCCCAAAAGAAAACCACAGAACAGAGCACACAGCTGGAGTTTGCTGTTTCTCCAAAGAATGAGAATTCCCACAAGTACGTTCCTATGGTACCACCGTGAGTTATTTTCCTCTTTTCTTTGCATCCACTTCCTCTCTCTCCCTAGAGCATGTAGTGTCTCAGGCACTTCTCCAGGCCCTCAAAAGTGGCTCAGAAGAGCGGAGGAGGAGGTGTGAGAGCCCCCAGCATTGGCTGAACATTGGAATCACCTGAGGCTCTTTAAAAACTACTGATTAATATCTGTATCCCACCTTAAAAGTTCTGATGGGGCCTCCCTGGTGGCACAGTGGTTGAGAGTCCGCCTGCCGATGCAGGGGACATGGGTTCGTGCCCCGGTATGGGAGGATCCCACATGCCGCGGAGCGGTTGGGCCCGTGAGCCATGGCCGCTGAGCCTGCGCGTCCGGAGCCTGTGCTCCGCAACAGGAGAGGCCACAACAGGGAGAGGCCCCCATACCGCAAAAAAAAAAAAGTTCTGATGTAATTGGCCTGGTTTGACTTGGGCCTCAGAATTTTAAAAATATCACAGGTTATTCCAATATGCCACCAAGGCTGAGAACTACACGTATAGAGTTTGGACTTCATCTACTAGCCAGCAGAGCCTATTGAGGATTTGTAAATGACAAAACACAGTGGAAAACAACACTAACTGGAAAGATGACCACATCAAGTAAAAATAATAAGAGCAAATAACAATACAGCATATTTTGGATTCCAGGCACTTTTCTTAGATATATATTATATTATATACTTTTAAAGTATATATGATATAAGAAATGCTAAGAAGCCCAGACAGGATAAATACAAAGAAAACCATACCCACACCTCTGGCACATCAGAGTAAAACTGTCAAAAGACAAAGGCAAAGAAAAACCTTAAAAAACAGTCAGAGAAAAAAAGGAATACTACCTTCAAAGTAGTAATAATAACAATAACTGACTTCTCTATGGAAACAATGGAGGCCAGAACAAGAAGGTAAGTAGGAAAGTGTATATATATATATATATATATATATATATATATATACACACACTACTTTATATATAATACTTGTTAAATCATCAAAATAACCCTATAAGGTAGCTACTATTATAATGACCATTTTAGTGATGAGAAAAGTGAGGCTCAAAAAAAGTTAATACCTTGTTCATGATCACAGGACAAGTAAATGATGGAACTGAGATTTGAATCCTGGAGTTCTGGCTCCAAAGTCCATGCTCTTTGTATTGCTTCTGGATATGGTGGATTAGCTTGTATCAGACCAACTTCTTCACCAACCACAACTAGGAAAGCAAGTTTGAACAAAAAGAAAAGTTACCAGGGCACTGAAGACTTGAGAGGCCAAGATCACCAAGATAAAAGAAGTACATTGTATGAACCTGATATCTGGTCACATTCTTCCCCTGCAGGCATTTGCAGATTTGTAAACCAACATCTGAGGGGCCCAGATGCTGAGTAGATATTCAGCAGTCTCCTGGGACTGAGGATTTTAAAAATGAGTTCTGGGACGCCAAAACATAGGAAATTTAGCAAACATCTCCAGCTTTCAGCTGGGACACCTGACAAGTTATAGCCTAAAACTAAGGGCTAACCTTACTTCTAGGATATGTTAAGAGATGAGCCATCAAAAGAGCTGAAACCCAGATTTAAACCATCTCAATCTAGATTAAGATGATCTAACCCTGACCTGAAGTAAAAGCAAACCCTCTCTGAAGGAAGATAACATTCAAGCTCAAATTTCCACCATAATTTTTTATCCACAATGTCCATCATTCAATCAAAAGTTACCAGACTTACCAGGAGACAAAACCAAGTGACCAAAAACCAGAGAAAGACCAAATAATAAAAACAGACTTACAGGTAATTCGTATACGAGAATTAGCAGAAACAATTTTAAATGAACTATCATCAATACATTTAAGAAAACAAATTACAAGTAGAAAATTTTCAGTGGAGAACTAGAATCTATCCAAAAAATCAAATAGAAATTTTAAAACTGGAAAATATAATGAATGAAATTAAGAACTGGATAGACGGGTTTAACCACAAAGTAAACACAGCTGAAGAGAGGACTAGAAAACTAGCTACTAATAGGACTGAAGCAAAGGGAGAAAAAATAGAAAATACAGAAAGGAAATGAAAGATATGAACAAAGTGAAAAGGCACAAAATATGTGTAATTTTCCCATAAGGGGAGAAGAGAGAAAACAGAGCAAAAGCAATATTTGAAGAGATTGATTATTGACTAAGAATTTTTCAAAAGAAACAAAAAAACACAAGCTATGTATTTAAGAAATGTTAAGCCTAGGCAGGGTAAATACCAAGAAAACTACATCCACACCTTTGGCACATCAAAGTAAAACTGCTGAAAGACAAGGCAAAGAAAAACCCTAAAAAACAGAGAGAAAAAGGAATATTATCTTCAAAGTAGTAACAATAGCAGCAACTGACTTCTCTATAGAAATAATGGAGGCCAGAACAACAAAGGATATCTTCAAAGTTTTGAAAGAAAATAATTGTCAACTTAGAATAATACATCTTGCAAAAAATATTCCTTAAAAATAAATGAAAATAAGACATTTTCAGACAAAAATTAAAATATTTAACCAACAGACCAACATCAAAAAAAAAAAGATCTAAAGAAAGTCCTACAAAAAGGAAAACAATCCCAGATGAAATCGAAGATATTCAGGAAGGAATGAAGAGCAACAGAAAGGGTCAAAATATATATAAAACTATAATGATTACATTGTCTATATAGAAAACTCCAAATAATCTACAAAAAAATGCTACTACAGACTTCCCTGGTGGTGCAGTGGTTAAGAATCTGCCTGCCAATGCAGGGGACAAGGGTTCAATCCCTGATCTGGGAAGATCCCACATGCCGTGGAGCAACTAAGCCCATGTGCCACAACTACTGATCCTGTGCTCTAGAGGCCAAGAGCCACAGCTACTGAGCCCACGTGCCACAACTGTTGAAGTCCGTGCACCTAGAGCCCACGCTCCACAACAAGAGAGGCCAATGCAATGAGAAGCCCATGCACTGCAATGAAAAGTGGCCTCTGCTCACCACAACTAGAGAAAGCCCGTGCAGCAACGAGGACCCAATGCAGCCAAAAATAAATAAATAAATAAGAGTGAACTTTAAGAAAAAAAGCTCCTAGAACTAATAAGTGAGTTTAACAAAGGTACAGGATACAAGGTCGATATACAAAATTTTATTGTATTTCTATATATCAGCAATGAACATTGGATTCAAAATTTTAAAAACAATACAATTTACAATAGCACCCCAAAAATGAAAGACTTAGTTATAAATCTAACAGATATGTGCAGGATCTGTGTTTGAAAACTACAAAATATTGATGAAAGAAATCAAAGACCTAAATAAATAAAAAGATAATCCATGTTTATGGATTGGAAGAATCAAATTGGTAAGATAACAATCCCCCCCATTGATCTATACATTCAATGCAATCCCAATCAAAATCTCAGTATACTTTTTTGAATCATTACTGACCAGCTGATTCTAAAATGTATGAGACAAGGGCAAAGGATCTAGAATGACAATTTTGAAAAGGAAGACAAATGTTGAAGGAATTAAACTACCTAAATTCAAAGCTTAAAAAAGTATGGTAATCAAGATAGTGTGGCATTAGCAGAAAAGACAGACATATAGCTCAATGGAACAAAACAATCAAGATACACTCAACTGATTTTTTTAAAATTTATTTTATTTCTTTATTTTTGGCTGCGTTGGGTCTTCATTGCTGCATGTGGGCTTTCTCTAGTTGCGGTGAGTGGGGGATACTCTTCACTGGGGTGTGCAGGCTTCTCATTGTGGTGGCTTCTCTTGTTGCAGAGCATGGACTCTAGGTGCACGGGCTTCAGTAGTTGCAGCTTGCGGGCTCCAGAGCGTAGGCTCAGTAGTTGTGGCACACAGGCTTAGTTGCTCCGTGGCATGGGGGACCTTCCCAGACCAAGGCTCGAACCTGAGTCCCCTGCATTGGCAGGAGGATCCTTAACCACTGCGCCACCAGGGAAGCCCTCAACTGATTTTTAACAAGGGTCAAAGGCAATTCAATGGAGAAAGGATAGTTATTTCGATAAGTGGTGTTGGAATAATTAGATGCCCATATGCAAAAAAAAAAAAAGAAAGAAAAAAAGAAACTCAACCCATGCCTCACACCTTATATAAAAACTAACTCAACCACTCCTAAGTATATATGCAAGATAACTGAAAGTATGTGTTCACACACAAACTTGTACATGAATGTTCATAGCAGCATTATTCATAATAGCCAAAACAATCCAAATGTCCACTGAACGATGAATGGATAATATGTATGTATTTATACAATGGAACACTATTCAGCAATAAAAAGGGATAAAATACCAATATATGCTACAAAATGGATGAAACTTGAGAACAATATGCTAAGTGAAAGAATCTATAGAGGCAAAAAGTAGATTAGTGGTTGCCTAAGGCTGGGAGAGGGGCAAGGGGCAGTGATTGCTAATGAGTTCTGGAGTTTCTTTTTCAGATGATGAAATGCTCTGGAATTAGACAGTGGTGATGGCTGCATAACCTTGTGAATATACTAAAAACCACTGAATTGTACACTTTCAAAGGGTGAATTTTATGGTATGTGAATTATATCTCAATAAAATAAAATGTTTTTTTAAATTAACTCAAAATGGATCATAAACCTAAATGTATAATGTGAAACTACAAAACTTCTAGTAGAAATACATGAGAAAATCTGCATGACCCTATATTAGGTAAAGAATTTCTAGACACTCAAAGCACAATCCACAAAAGCATGATCCATGAAAGAAAAATGATAATTTGAACTTTATTAAAATTAAAAATTCTTGCTTTGCAAAAGACACTGATAAGAGAATTCAAAAGCAAGCCACAGACTGGAAGAAAATATATGCAAATCATATTTCTGACAAAGACTTGTATACAGAACATATAAATAACTCTAAAAGCTAAACAATAAAAAAAAAAAACAAGGAACCCAATATCTAACTTGCCAAAAGTTCCAAACACACACTCCACCAAAGAAGATGTATGGGTGGCAAATAAGCACATTAAAACCTGCTCAGCATAATTAGTCATTAGGGATAACCAAATTAAAACTACCATGAGGGTTTCCCTGGTGGCACAGTGGTTGAGAGTCCGCCTGCCGATGCAGGGGACGCAGGTTTGTGCCCCGGTTCGGGGGGAATCCCACGTGCCGCGGTGCGGCTGGGCCCGTGAGCCATGGCCGCTGGGCCTGCGCGTCCGGAGCCTGTGCTCCACAGCGGGAGAGGCCGCAGCTGTGAGAGGCCCGCGTACCGCAAAACAAACAAACAAACAAACAAAAAACTACCATGAGATACTACCACATACCTACTAGAACGGCTAAAACTAAAAAGACTGATAATACCAAGTAGTGATGAGGATGTGGAGTAACTGGAAGCCTCAAATGTTGCTGATGGAGATGCAAATTGTTTGAAAAACAATTTGGCAGTTTCTTAAAAAATTAAACATACATATAACCATATGACCCAGCAATCCTACTACTAGGTATTTATCCAAGAGAAATAAAAATGTATGCTTATGATAAATTAATGTTTATAGGAACTTTATTCATAATTGCCCCAAACTGGAAGCCACTCAGATGTCTTTCAACTAGCAAATGGATAAAGTATAGTACAACTATACAATAGAATACTACTCATCAATAAAAAGAAACAATCTATTGATTCACACAATAACATGTATGAATCCTATATGTATATTGCTAAGTGAAAGAAGTCAGACCCAGAAGGCTACATATATCTCTAGGGGTTGGAGGTGGGAACAGAGTAGACTATAAGGGGACAGCACAAAGGAATTTAGGGATGACAGACTGTTCTATATCAAGAGGTTTTGGTGGTGGCTCTGTGCCACCCTGAGAGTCACCAAATGACTCGTGCATTTGACAAAACCCATAAAACAATACAAAACAAAAAATAAAGTTTACTATATTTAAACTTTAAAAAAAATCAACCAAGATATGGAGAGAACCCCAAATGAAATGCAAACTGTTAACTGTAACAAATGAAAAAATGAGTATTGTTTCTACAGAAAAATAATAATATCATGTAAGGTGTAAAATATATGTAGAATTAAAACATATGAAAATAATAGCATAAAAATTGGAGGTAGGAAATGGAATTAAAGTATTCTAAAGTCCTTGAATGATATGAAAAGTGCTAAAAGTACTATTTTATATTAGACTTTAATAAGTCAA